GACAGTCGTGGATCCCATAACCATACCCTCTATACCATTGGAAGTTCTTTTATAGATGGTCATTGGGAACTTAAATTAATTTATTCTGTGTGCCCAGCCCATCAGCTGGTAGAAGTGGAAGCAGGTACATATTTGAGCCGAAGACAGTTTCTAAAAATGGAAGTTTTGGGACCCAGAAAAGCTGTTTAATTGTAGTTCTGTTGTAGAATTAATCTGTTCTTATTTTCTAGTTCCTTTGCTTTTGTCTATTGTTGATACCCATCTGTAAAATGGGGTTAAACATTCCCTACATCTCCAGAATATTGAAAGGATAAATTCCCCAGTGTTTGCAAAGGTTCATATAGTAAGTTAATGGATCCATGTATGTGTCAACATTTGAAACAATAGGCAAGAATTTTGACAGACAAATTTAGATGAGAGACAAAAAGGAGGAACTATTTCTGTGGGTAGTTTTACTTTTTATGTCAACTGTCTGAAGCTGCTCAGTAATGAAATGCTAGGAGTCCCATCCCAGTAGGGTGGAGTGGTGGGTAGAGTGCAATAGGGCAGTCAAAATGCTTTTTAATTGTCACATGGGTCTGTAATTTATCACCCCAGTATCATCAGAATGATATGTGTGTGCCAACCACTGTGTAGACAGAGATACAGATGCACACAAAAGACAGAAAGGTCTTGCAAGCAGGTTGTTTCAGCTTCCCACATCTATAGTAAAAATAGGCTTAATAATTAAATAAAATATAACCCCAAGACTGTAGCCATTTTCTGAATTCACAAGTGCAGAGCAGACATCTGAAATATGTAACTTCATATTGTGGTCTGGTGGTTTTAATTTGTTCTCATTTATCCTTACTTATGACTTTGATTAAATGCCAGATATAAAAACCTCCACAGAGATAAACCATTTTGTTAAACAGAAAAAAGAAAAAGATCTTGGTATGAATATCTTATTGGCATAGCTTTCTTTTAAACTACCTATGCTTTAGACTTTTCTGGTGTGTTTTTATATAAGTGAACTGTCCACATGCAAGCAAATTCAACTGCATGAGCCTTAAGTAAGCAATTATACTGTGGAGTGACTTAATCTCTTGTATTTTACTTTCAGATTCGGATTTTTACCTATCTGATAGGCAGAGAAACTGCTTTTGCTGATAACCTGAAATGGATGGCCTGTGCTAACAAAGGTTGGTTAACCTTCTTTAACTGAAAATCTTACTTGCAAAAATCTTGAAGTCTTCTAGCAAAACTGAAAACTTGTACAAAAATCATCTCAATGTCAACAGTTTTGAGGGGATCAATTGTTTTTTCAGCAAGAGGATAGGTTTGTTTACAAAAGCATATCTAGAGTATGCAGGTCTTTAAACATTTTAAAGAAATGTTATTTCATTAAAATGCACCTAAACTGTTTCATGGTCGTGAGAAGCAGAAATTGAAAATCACAAAGAATTAATTTTAATTACAAAATGTTTTTCCTATTGTTTTTATGGAACTGAAAAGAACATAGGGTGCATATACAAGTTTAGCAAGGCTGCTCCAACACACTGTAATTACATGCTGTGATTAATCAAGTCAGCTGGAGTGTGGTAATTACTGCACTCCAGCAGACTCCATCGTCACATGAATCAGCGTCCCTGCACTGAAAAATAGTGGTGGGGGCACTTTAAACCTCATTCAAAGAGCTTTATTTAAAACACCCCCATGGCCATTTTTTAGTGTGGGGACACTAATACACATGAATGGCACTCTGCGTGCTTTAATTAGAACAGGTCTTGGAGCCACCCTAATTAAAGCGTCCCCATCTGCCACCCCGAGCACATCTATAAATGCCCATAGTGCTTAGAGACCCCAAATAAGGTAAGGTCTCATTGCATACAAACTACAGTGAGAGACATTTTCTCCCCTGAAGAGCTTAAAAGCTGAGGAGAAAAGACAGCCATGAGTCTACTACTACTATTACTATCATTAAAGACCAAAATACTAAAGGGTAGGAAAGCTAAGATACTATGTAGTAGTGATCATAATAGTACATGTAAGACAGATGGACAGTCTAAGTAAGAATAATTTTGAAGCACTGATTAAGGTGAAGCTTTTTCTTTATCTCTATCTTTGAAATGTTTTTTCCCCCTGTGCCACATCACTTTATGATGAATTGCATCAGGCACTATCCATTAGTCATTTATAGCTTTAACTACTGTTGTGTCCAGCTGATGGAAATTAGGCAGTTTGAAGTCTTGTCTTAATCAGCTAATATTACACCATAATTTAGTTTAGTCATTGTATAAGAATCCTTTGATGCATCTTTTTGAAGAAAATTTAATCAACAAAGCTTTTCAGACAGTACAGTGCTATAGATGCATAAAGATCTAAGCATAGCAACTGAAAAATTAGGGCCAGGCCATAAGAGCTGTCTGACTTGTTCATCTGGTATGTGTGTGCTTTATTTGAAATATGGGAAATGTGGACATCTTTGTTCTTCACTATCCCCAGGAGGCTGCTTTTTAAAAAAAACTCTCCTACTGAACAATTTTGGTTTTGTCATTGTCAGAGATAGTGTCAAACATTAGTTCTCAGTGGGCATGTCCACATGTGCTCTTTAATGTGCAGTGCCCTATTTTACTATGCATTAAAGCATCACTTAAAAAACCATACTATTACACTAATGCACAGTAAAATAGGCTACTGCTCATTAAGCGTCACCTAAAAACCATCTACAAATATTACTGTGCATTCAGGAAACCTAATGCACATTTGTTTAGTACCTCACACTGGAGATACTAAATAGAATGCATATTAGGAAAAGTGCCTTAATGCATGTGTAGATGCACCCAGTTACAATCTGGCTAAAGTTGTATTAAATCTACCACAGACAACTCACCTACTCTAATTCAGTATAAACAGGAACAATCTCTAGCCCCTAGATGTCAACAAAATAATGTATTTTAATTATCATTGTCTCTATAAACTTTTCTCTTAGATTTAGTCTGTTACAGTACTTGCTTCATAATACTACATAATGTAAATTTCTTGTAACTCTGATCAATAAGTAAATGAGTTTTTATAGTTTCAGAAGTTATAATCTGGGAAGCAGGATGAGTCTTCATCTCAGGTCTTGGATTCAGAACTTCCCCTTACAGTTTTCAGCTCTGGTTTAGTTGTTTTCTTTAGCCCAATGAAGTATTACAGTTCTGAGAGAAGAGAGACCTAGTAAAGCTGATCTGCAGAATGGCTGAATGACTGCACTGCAGTTTACTTCTTACATGGGTGGGCCAACCATGTTGTCACTGAGATCAATGGACCTAAAACCAATTTTCTTTGCAGTGATTTTCCCCTTGGAAACACAGCATAGATGAAGACTGTGTGCAAGCTTTCCAGCTGACTGGACTGTGGACAGCCCTTTCCTTTGAAATGGATCACAAGGGAAATTTATACCACCTTGCAAAAGTTTCTTAAGTTCTGAATTCTAATAGTGAAACTATGAGACCCCCCTGCCCAGGCACTTTTCTCTATTAAAATTCAGGCATAAGTAGGGTGCAGCTTCAGGGACCATGGGCTTAATGAGCCAAAGCAGCAAACCATTTTAATTACATTAAAACAACTGAGGGCCCGCAAAGCTCCAGTCAAGCAATTTATGAAAGTTACAATTATTTTCTTTGCTATTCTGTAAGCAAGTGCACATGAAGGAAAAATAACAAGAAATGGAGATTTACTAAGATCCTCAAGTGAACAAAGATAAAAGTTTCCTAATGTTTAACATGCCAAGTTTTAAAGTAAGCAGCCACTGCCTTTCCCTCAACAGTTTTTTCCAGCAGAAGGTTGGCCAGCTGTACAAATAAAGATGGGCCTTAATGTTTTAATAACTTACAAAACAGCCTCTATTAAACACATTTTTTTGTAAAGGTCTGTATCAATTTAGTCATTTGACAACCCCACTTTTTAATGTTTGTTTATTTTTTATTAATTATGCACCATCAGGGAAGTTGGCATGTTACAGAACATAGAGAAAGACAAAGGAAAGATTCATCTATGCACAAGTGCAGAGCTCGGCAAAGGAATGAAGGAAGAGAAGCTTGGACCTTCCCTAACTGTAGGAGCTGGTGAAATTGCTAGCAAAGGTTGCAGCAGCCCTAAGGGCTTCCCCAAATTGTGCCCCAGTTACAACAGCTCCAGGGCTTGTTGTATGAGCAACCAATAGTTGGGATGTAAGAATCTTCAACCATGTCCACTCACATAACCTGAGCACCGCCTGCATTGTAGGCTTCCCTGGGGAGCCATTTATGTATACTGCTCACCTAACTGAAAGGTCTCTTATACTGGCAACATTCTTAATGGGAGCTTCTGACCATCAGCATAGTGCACCGTGCTTAGAAACAGCTTTTGGTTGTTTTCAGTAGTCCTGGGTCTGATGAAACTATTGTCATTGTATTGAAAACCACCATTCTTATGAGGGTGATAATATGCAAGAGAATGCCAGCCCCAGAGAATAATATTTTTTAACAAACCAAATAATTATGCTCCTTCTTATCAAATGTTATATATTTCCTTGAAGGGCTTTCACAGACTCATAGATGCTAGGGTCAGAAGGGACCTCAACAGATCATTGAGGGTCAGATGACCCCAGCCAGATGCCTATCCAGCCTTCTCTTAAAGACCCCCAAGATAGGGGAGAGCACCACCTCCCTTGGAAGCCCATTCCAAATTCTGGCCACCCTTACCATGAAGAAGTTTTTCCTGATATCTAGCCTAAATCTGCTCTCTGTCAGTTTGTGACCATTGTTTCATGTTTCCCCAAGAGGCACCCTGGTGAACAGAGTATCTCCAATCCCTTCCTGTGTCCCCCTAATGAATTTGTAGGTGGCCACAAGATCACATCTCAGCCTTCTCATGTGGAGGCTGAAGAGATCTAGGTCCCTCAGTCTCTCCTAATAGGGCTTGTCCTGTAAGCCCCTAATCATAGGAGTGGCCCTTCTCTGGACCCTCTCAAGTCTATCAACATTGTAACAGGACAAAGACAGCCCTGTTCCTTTGATGTTACAAAGTTGCAAGTACAGGGGAAAGTCAGGTCAGGGACAGGGCAAAGTTAATTACTTAGTAAACACAGTTGGGGAGAGAATTGCATCCGGATGAATGTTAACTGATTAGGAGCCAGCAGTTACTTAAGTCCACAGCAAGGGGTCTCCCTTTGCCCCCTGTGGCACAGCGTGGAGAGATTCAGCAGGGACTCTAGAAGCTGCAGACCCTGTGCTGGAGCAGCTTGTTGATAAGACTGGCTAATTGGGTGTAGGTAACCACGGCAACCAGTGAAACAAGGAGGTGAGGAAGAGAGGAGAAACTCACTGTCCGAGAGAAGGTCCCATGGAGAAAGGATCTGCTGGCACCGGCAAGAAAGAGAAAAGAGAGTGGGACTGGAGTGAAGCTTACTGGCTTGGGGGAATGTGCTGCACAGTGGTGGAGGGCAAAAGGAAGGCCGCAAGCTGTGAGAATAGCCAGGGTTCTCCACAACCTGCAGGGAAGTTACTAATAAACCAGTTTCCTTTTATCTTGCTTCTGGGGTGATTTACTACACCATCTCTCATTGGGGACTTAACTACTTACTCTTCCATCAATCCAAAGCGTGGTAGGGAGCTCCACGGAGAGAGATTTTGGTATTCACCCCCACCCGGCCACAAACGTCTTTCTTGAAGTATGGCATCCAAAACTGGACACAGTACTCCAACTGTGGTCTGACCAGTGCCTCGTAGAGAGGAAGTATCACCTCTTTGGTTCTATTTGTCATTCATCTGCTGATGCGTGATAAAGTGCGGTTATCTTTGCTGATGATTTCGTCGCACTGACGACTTATGTTCATCTTGAATCCTCTGTGACTCTGAGATCCCTTTCCACTTCTGTGCTGCTGAGAGGGTCACTTTCTAGCCAGTAGGTGTGCTTGATATTTTTGCGTCCTAGTTGCAGCACTCTGCATTTTTCCTTGTACTGCAGCCTATTGCATACTGCCCACTTTTCTAACCTGTCCAGGTCTGCCTGCAATCATTCCCCCACAATTTAGTATCATCCACAAACTTGGACAGAGTACACTTCACACCCACATCCAAGTCACTGATGAAGATATTGAAGAGTACAGGTTCAAGGACTGAACCCTCCAGGACCCCACTACCCACATCCTTCCAGGTCAATACTAACCTGTCTACTACCAGTCTCTGGGTATGACCGCTAAGCCAATTTGCCACCCACTGGACCATGTAAACATCAATGTCACAGCCTTTTAATTTATTTATGAGAATGGGATGAGATACTGTATTGAAGACCTTGCTAAAAGCCAAGAAAATGACATCCACTTCTACTCCTGTGTCTAAGTATTTTGTGACTCTGTCATAAAACAAAACCAGATTGGTCAGGCATGATGTACCTGCTATGAATCCATGCTGGTTGCCCTGCTGCATTATTTTTCCTGCTGGACTCCCACAAATATCCTTTGTAATCTTTTCAAAGACCTTTCCAAGGATGGAGGTGAGACTGACTGGCCTATAATTACTCGGATCCTCCTTCCTCCCCTCCTTGAAAATAGGGACCATATTGGCCATTTTCCAGTCCTCCAGGACTTGACCCGAGTGCCACAAGTGCTCAAACAGCTGTGCCAGTGGTTCTGCTATGACACCAGTCAATTCCTTCATTTCTCTTGGACGCAGCTCATCTGGGCCTGCTGACTGAAACACAACCAGTCCATCCAAGTGATGCTGCACCAAGTCAGTGTCAACAGTTGGTGGGATGGTGCCCCTCTGACGCCCATCTAAGAACCCATTAGGAGACTTATCTTGATTCCTGTTCAAAAACACTTAGGCAAAAAACTCATTGAATAGCTCAGCCTTGTCCCCCCATCTGTCACTAATTGCTCCTTCTTGTTCAGTAGGGGTCCTTTGCTGCCCCGCACCTTTCTTTTACTCCCTACACACCTAAAAAAAAGACTCTTTGTTGTCTTTAATTTGTGTTGCCAGCCTTAGCTCCATAGTTGCTTTGGTCTTTCTAACTGCCTCCCTGCAAGGAACTAGTCAGGGAACTTCTGGAGGGACTGGATCAGCTGGGTTGAATGATCTCCACCCCAGAGTGCTGAGGGAATTAGCTGAGGTCATTGCAGGATCCCTGGCATGGCTTTACAAGCACTCATGGTGCTCTGATGTGGTGCCAGAGGACTGGAAGAGGGCCATCTTCAAAAAAGGGAGGAAGAAGGACCCAGGAAACTATAGACCAGCTGGTCTTACCTTGATCCTGGGTAAGCATTTTGAGAAAATTATCCTGGCACATGTCCATGAGGGGCCAGCAGGGGAGCTTATTCTTATGCTGCCTCTAATGAACACAGGTTCATTAGAGGCAGGTCCTGTCAGACCAACCTGGTGGCCTTCTATGACCAGGTCACAAAATCCTTAGATGCAGGGGTAGCTGTGGACATAGCCTTTCTGGACTTTAGGAAGGACTTCGACACTGTCTCTCACCCCGTTCTCATTAAAAAACTGGGGGACTGTGGTGTCAACACCTACACAGTCAAATGGGTCACTAGTTAGCTGGAGGGCCGCACCCAGAGAGTGGTGGTGGATGGATCATTTTCAACCTGGAGGGACGTGGGCAGTGGGGTTCCGCAGGGCTCAGTCCTCAGGCCTGCACTGTTCAACAATTTCATCAGTGACTTGGACAAGAGGGTAAAAAGCACCCTGTTCAAATTTGCTGACGACACCAAGATGTGGGGGGATGTGGGCACACTAGAAGGGAGAAATAGGCTGCAATCGGACCTAGACAGGTTACAGGGGTGGGCGGATGAGAACAGGATGGGATTCAACACTGACAAGTGCAAGGTGATGCACCTGGGGAGGAAGAACCAGCAGCAGACCTACAGGCTGGGGAACTCCCTTCTCATCAGTGCAGAGGCAGAAAAGGATCTTGGAGTCATCATTGATGCCAAGATGAACATGGGCTGGCAGCGTGGGGATGCAGTCAGGAAGGC